TAATTGCCTTGACTTAGATATTCATTTCTACGACTGTAACTCTCGTTGCACGTGGCTGTGTGGCTAAAGAATTGTATTTTTCAATTTTTAATTTTATTTGTGAAATTCTCAATATATCACAGTACATCGCAACCCATGTGCATTTTCACAATTTTTTTTTATTGGTACATAGATGATACATTATGTAGTCGAGCATTATTTCTTTTAGTTTTGATCGTGACAAAGTGTACAGAGATTTGAGCCGAATGACAAAAAAAAAGGATTCGGCGGGGTGACAGAGGAAAGTCGGGGGGGGGGGGGGAGTTGATGACTTCGACGACCAAATTGAAGATAAGGAAGGCAATTTGCTCTGGAATTGTTTTTTTGTGATGTAATTGTTGTTACTTGCCTATGCGCACACACGCACACATACACAGATACATACACATACATACACATACACACACACAATCACACACGTGTATATATATGTGTGTGTTTGTATATGTGTATATATATTTTATTTTATTTTATCTTATCTTATATCTTATATCATTTTTTAAACCTTAGTGTTGCTATTGTTATTGTTATTATTTTTATTATCATTGTCATTATTTTATCATTAATTTATTATTATTATAATTATCAGGATTTTCCCCTTGTAACCTCACGCGTCACATTCATTGTCATCATTTGTTGAGAGAAAATAAAAGCACAAAATACAATCGTCTGGAAAAACTTGATTTGTCTCCAACAGGCGACAGGAAGAAGGTATATGGCGAAAATACATTGTCATTTGTATTTTTGTAAAGTTTGATTTTTTTTGATAATTTTGTTTGTGATGTAAACGATTGCTTTGGCCGCCATCTTGGCAAGTGTCTCACTGTGAATAAAACTTGAACCTTGATTCTCTGTGTCACTGCTCCCCGACTGCTGCCGCGGCGCCGTGCCTCCGTCGGCCGTGCCTCCGTCGGCCCTGCCTCGGCCCGCGCCAGCCGCCCTCCTTCTCCTCGCTCGCCGCGCCCCCGACGAGCGCGTGACGCCGCCTCACCACAAGCTCTCGATAAGCACTTTGTAGACCTTGCAACAGGAACGACGAAGGGAAGAGCAAGAAAACACACGAATATGCCGAAGGCCTTTTCACTATTGCTTCGTCAGCATATGCATATGCTACATGGTACATAGAGGAGTATATATACAACTGATCACCCTGTAGTTGTATATGTACTCCCTATGTACCTCATGTAGCATATACCCTGACGAAGCAATAGTGAAAAGGCCCTCGGCATATTCGTGTGTTTTCTTGCCCTTCCCTTCGTCGTTCCTGTTGCAATCTGTTCAACATGAATTCCACACATTCGTAGACCTTGCTCACCCATGCACAGACGGACGCGCACGTTCACACAAACACGTACACTCACACACGTACACTCACACACGTACACTCACACGGTCCCACACGCAGACGCAGGTGCATATCCTCCCACGCGCACACAAGAGACACTGCCACACTGCCGCCCATTTCGCTGGAACCAGAGAGGACCGCCCGCCCGCCCACCCGCGGCGAGGACCGTCGGCCAGCGCTGCCAGGGCCATGGGCTCTGCCTGTCCTTGGTGTCCTCCGCCTGCCCGGCCTCAGAGGAGTGACTGACCTTAGAATTCCACATTTTCTTTCGCGTTGTTGTGAAGGGCGTCGTCGCGGGTTTTGATTCGTCACTGCATGCTTCTGCTCAGGAGTCGGTCGAGACTCTGTTGCAGTCGTCACGCAGGAGTCGAGGTGTAAGCGCACGAGTGGAGTCGCCTCGAAAGGCCGAGCCGCGGTTTAAAGCCGTTCGTAAGAAAGCACTTGCATGCCCTGACGAAATCCTTCGAAAGGTGGGGTGCCGTGAATCTGTGATCAGGACAAATTCCCCTTAACTTAGGCATAAGCGGGCAGGCATCCACGCAAACCTAGATTATAAATGCACGCCCATACGTATACCCACGCTCCGCGGCAGAACACGTGTCCAGGCTCATTAACCACACGCACTCACACCCGCACACTGTCGACACCCGCTGAGCAGAAGATGGGGTCAGTCACGGAAGAGGAGACGGGGTTCCTGAGTTGGAGGAACCGCAGATTCCCTGAACGGTTGGCTTGTGCGCGGCCGTGTGCGGCGAGTGCGTTGGAGGGAGCTGCGCCGAGGGAGAACGGCGCCTGTGGGCCCAGTATCTTTTCTTGTTATCCGGTTCGTGAGGGCGTTGGGGGCCGTCCTCCCCCCCCCTTCCCCTCCCTTTCCCCTCTCCTCTCACCCTCCTCCCCTCCTTCACCCCTTTCCACTCCCCTCTCATGCTTCCTCCCCCTCCAGTTCCTCTCTCCCCTCTGAGCCAGAGCGCTGACTAAGGGCGTGCGTCTCTCTCTTTATAGGGGTGGTGGCGGCGGCGGGAGTCGGCGTGCGCGCTGTGCGGGCGGCAGTTCCGCTCCGCCATGGATCTGACCCGCCACATCCGCACGCACACGGGCGAGCGCCCCTTCCAGTGCCCCTTCTGCCCCTACCGCGCCGCCCACAAGAGCAACGTGCACCGCCACGTCCGCACGCGGCACCACAACGGCGCGGGCGCGGCCACGGGCGCGGGCAGTGGGAGGCGGCGGCAGCGGTAACGGTAGCGGGCGTGGCGGCGGTCAGGCTCCTGCCGCCGCCGCCGCCGCCGCCGCCGCCGCCCTCCTACCCGAGCGGCGCCTCGCTCGAGCGCCCCAAGTAGGGGGAGGAGGGAGGGAGGAGGAGGAGGTCGGGGGTCGAGGAGGAGGAAGGGAAGAGGCGCAAAGAAGAAGGAAGAGAGGGAGGGAGGAGGACGAAGATGGAAAAAGGAAAAAGAGAGGTTCGCTTGGCGGATGCAATTCCCCATGATAAGTGCTTTTGTCTATTGTCATTAGCTTTAGTGTTATAATTATTATTACTATTTTTGATAGTTTTGTTAGTATTATTATAGATTTTATTGTTTTTATTATTATTATTATTATTATTATTATTATTATTATTATTATTATTATTATTTGTTATTATTTATTATAGTTATTATTATTATAATTATTGTTATCATTGTTATCATCATTGCTATTATTATTATTGTTATTATTGTTTATTATTATTATTATTTTTATTATTTATTATATTGTTATTATTGTTATTGTTTATTATTATTATTATTATTTGTTATTTATTATGGTGAAGATTTTTTATTTTATCATCATCATCAATGAGACTTAGCTACTGCTGTTGCCATCTTTTTCTTGTTATTGATGGTATATATTTTGATATTTGCGGGCCGGGGAGGGGGTTTGAGGGGGTGGGGGGGGCAGGAACGTCGTGGACTCTCCATTCACTTGGAAAGAAAGATCGGAGATGGCGAGGTGAAGGACAGTGCAAGGAACAGCAAGGGCGAGAGCGCGAGGGGTCGGGGTCAGAGCGGAGGGCGTGGCAGGAGGCGAGGGGCGGCGGGGAGGGCCCGGCAGGAGCAGCGAGAGCGCCGGCGTGTGGCGGAGGTGGAGGTGGAGGTGGAGGGCGGCGAGAGGTTGAGGCAATGGCTGACAGGCGGGTTGTCTGTTCCAGCGTGGTCCCCCGGAGACGTCGATGCCGACCAGCGCCGCCGCCGCCGAGACCGCTAGGTTGCTGAACTATGGCCCGCCGCAGCCGCAGCCGCCGCCGCCGCCGCTCTGGGCCGCGGGCGAAGGCGCCGCCGGATGGGTGGGCGGCGCGGGCGGCGGCGCGGCCAGGGGCGGCCTGGGGGCGGACCGCCACTACCCGTGCGTCTTCTGCCACTACCGCTCGCGCTCGCGGGTCGACCTGGACAAGCACGTGCGCACGCACACGGGCGAGAAGCCGTACAAGTGCGTGTTCTGCGTGTACATGTCGGCCGACAAGAGCAACCTGCGGCGCCACCTGCTCGGCGTGCACAAGATCAAGTACGACGACCTGCAGCCGCTCCTGGCCGCGCGCGCGCCTCCGCAGGCGTTGCCGCAGCCTGTCAGCCCACCCCTGCCGCAGGCGCTGCCGCAGCCCCTGGCTCGCGCCCACAAGTTTTCTCTGCACGCCGCCCCCCCCGCCCCCCAAGAGCGGCCTCCCCGCCTCCTCTGCGGCGCCCAAAGCCTCGCTCCCCGCCCGCCCGCCCGCGGCTGCCGAGCCCTGTGCCTCGGCCGCGCGCCCCCCGCTGCACTCCGACGGCCACGCGACGCCTCCGTAAGGCCGGCCCTTCCGTGGGCCTCCCGCCCGTCGCCGTTTCCGCCTCCCGTCCCTCTGTCCGCTCTGCCGCCGCCTCCTGCCTTGCTTCCCTTCGGCCTCCGCTTGGCCTCGCTTCCTCTCCTCTCCAGTCTTCCTTCCTCCGCTCTCCCTCTCCAGGTCTTCCTTCCTCCGCTCTCCCTCTCCGTCTTGCCCGCATCCGGCGCCTCTCTCACGCCCTTTCCTCGCTGCCCCTTCACCCCTCCCCCCGCCCCGGAGCCTTTCTCTGCAGTGATTACCGGAACGACTTTTCAGAAGGGGTTTTTGGCCGGACAAGGACAGCTCCCGTTTTCCGATTATGCTTTTTTTTCTTTTACTCTGCATCATTATTCTTCTATTTTGGTTCCCCTTTTCTGGATCAGAGAATAGACGTCGCTGAAGCGCTGATCTGTGTCGCCTCCGCCCTCCCTCCCTCCCTCCTTCTCCTCCTTCTCCTCTCCTCCTCCTCCTCCTCCTCCTCCTCCTCTTCCACTTACTCCTCTCCTCCTCCTCCTCCTTCCCTACTCCTCCCCTCCCCCTCCCCTCCCCCCCCCAGAAGGAGCAGAGGGAAAGGCAAGGCTTTCCGTTCGCGGAGGCCGTGGAAGTGCAGTGCTGATGTGGTGGTTTCCTTGCAGTCGCGTCCCGGAGGTCTGGCAGCGGTGGTCGCGGCGGCGGTTCGTCGGGGCGCCTCCCTTCCTTCGGGCGCTTTGGCGCTGGCAGAGCGCCACGCCTCCTGCGGCGGCGGCGACGGCGGCGGCGGTGGCGGTAGCGGCGGCGGCGGCGGGG